GTTGAATAATTTTAACACATTCGACATTATGGATATAAAATAGTGAATTTTATATCATGTTTTTTTCAATAGTTATCATGAAGAAAATAAATTCATAGATTTGAAGAAAAATAGACCCCAGAATGATGTTCAAATCTGCAAAACTTTTTCATCCTTTAATAATCAGCTGTGCTTAGTTTAATTTATAACATATATAAATGTAGGTAGAAAAAAAACAAAAAGCAAAATGGCTGATGCTAACCTCCAGGAAAGTAACCTGTTTGCACCTTCTCATGTTCTTAGTTGACATGAAGTGGAAAGACTATATTGAATCCATTGCTAGATCAGCTGCTAAGAAAGTCAGTTCATTATGTTGGGCAAGACAATTCTTCACTTTTTATCTTACATATATAAGTCTACCATTCATCCATGCTTAGAATATTGCTGCCACATATGGTCCGGTTTTACCTTGAGTAACTTGATAAAATCCAAAAAAGAATCAGCAATATTATTTGTCCTGATCTGGTGGCTCACCTTCAGTCATTTCCCCAACGTTGTAAGGTTGCCTCTCTGTGCTTTTCTATATTTTATATTTTCATGGTAATTGTTCAGATGAGCCCTTCACTATAGTACCTAGACTTTTTGAATTTAAGCGCAGTGCTAGACTGGCATCAAGATATCAATTGAGCTGGGTAGATGTAGCCATAAATTCTATGCTAACAGTTTCTTTTCTTGCACTTCTCATTTGTGGGATTCCATTCCAGCTCCATGCTTTCCACCCAACTTCAAAAATTTAAATGCAGTGTCAATCACTATCTATTGTCCTCCTGATTACTTACTTTTTTTTTTTCTTTCTGCTCATCATTATTGTTTCCATTCCTAATTCTTCTATACCCTGTAATCTCTTGTGTTTTAGTGGCTTTACTGCCTTGCATGGGGCAATACTGATTAAAAAAAAAAGTTGATTAGATAGTGAGGGTCACAAAGCACTGTCTAATGCCCTTAATTAGGCTTGGGTCCTCCCCCTGTTGGAGGGTTGGGGGTAGCATGCACCAGCCTTCTTTAACACAATAATTCCATCTACATTTCAGGTAAACTGACATGTGACTGTTCAAAGAAGACTGTTCATCCTGTTGGTCAAAAAAGTCAGGAACAGCAGGTATGACATCATTATCACTGAGATACTGGTTCCCAGACAAGTGTTTGTTCATGTTGGAGAACAGATGATAGTCAAATCAGGATAATAGGGAGGGTGATCAACCATTTCAAAGCCACAGTCACAGACAGTAGCCATTGAAATAAAGGACTTATGTACTGAAGCATTGTCTTGATGAAATAAGACCCATTTTGTCAGTTTTCCTGAGAGCATTTTGTAACTGCCTCAGCAACTTAACAGTACTCTCTATTCATAGTGTGGCTCTTTTGAAGATAGTCAATAAACACTATACCTTTTGCATCCCAAAAAACTGAGGTCCTCACCTTCACTGCAAATGAAATGACCTTGGCCTTTGGAGCAGATGAAGAGGGGTGTTTCCACTGCGTGGATTATCTCTTTGTCTCTGGCTCAAAGTGATGAACCTAACACTCATCCTCGATTAGGAAATGCTCAAAGAAACCTGCCGAATCTGCATCAAATAATATCAGATTTTCCTATGATTTGATCAGCCATGTGCACTTTTGATTAGGTAGCAAAAGACATGGCAACTACAGAGCAGAAACCTTCATGCCAATTTAATTGTGCAGAATATACTCAAATCTCTCACAGGATATGGTATTTAATTTATAGTCAGTCACCTGTCATTCATCATGATGTGGTGAACACAATGTTTTCCTCGGTGATGGCAGTTTCAGGATGTCCTGATCTTGGGTCATCTTCAGGACTCTCTCTTCCCCTCCTAAATTCTGCTGCCCACTTTTGCACTCTTGATAAAGCTTGAGCATCATCCCCTAATGTAGTAACCATGTCAGCAAGAATGTCCTTGGCAGCTAACCCCTTCTTCTACAGTTACTTGATAACACCATGATGCCAAATTTTATTATTTCCAAGGAAAGTTGCTACAAGTTACTTCTGAAGTCTTCTTTGAACAGTTAGAGTTCAGTTTAATTGTAAAGAAACAATGCAGTTGTTAAGAAAAGTGAAACTGATGCATGCAAGATTTCACAGCTCTAGCAACACTCCTTCATAGTCAGCCAATGAACTTTTCAGTCAACTTTCGTACCTGGAAAGAAACAATGCAGTTATTTAAGAAGAGTTAAAATTAACGCATGTAAGCTTTCACAGCTCTAGCACCACTCCTTCATAGTCAGCCTATGAACTTTTCAGGCCACCCTCATATGATATAAAAACAATTTTTTTCAAGTTTTTGCTTGATTTTATCATTATTATTCATTTATATTCCTGTGGATACCCTTTTGTTGAATTGGAAAAAAACTGTAAAAAGACATTTTTTAAATGTTAAAAAAAAAAAAAAATGAAACTGTTCTCTTAATTGTCTTAGATAAGCTTTTTCACCTTCCATGAGCATGGCTGATGCTAACCTCCAAGAGGAGGTGTAACTTACTGTACCTCTTCCTTTTTCCACTAACATGAAGTGGAAAGATTATATTAAATCAATTGCTAGGTCTGTTACTAGGAAAGTTGGTTCACTATGTCGTGCTATCAATTTTTTTTCACCAGAATTTATCTTACATATCTATACGTTAATCATTTTTCTTTGCATTAAATACAGCTGCCTGTTCTGGGTATGATGATAAACTACATCAACATCCTGGGTAAGACAATAAACTATGTCCAACAGCAAGGCCTCTGATCAGGTTTGGAAGAGCGTGGAACCACCTCTTAATTGCTGGTGTTCCCAGGTCCACCCTGACCCAGGATGGTAGCACTTGTTAAAGCCCCAACTATGAGTAAATAGTTAGCCTCCAAACTGGGGTCAAGCAATACATTTAAAAAAAAAAAAAAAAAAAACATTACCAGCTATACATTTTTGAAGAAAAAATATTACCAGAAATAAAAATTTTGTTGGCATTAAATAACCCATTGAGGTAGATATGCTGTAAACCAAGCCAAACCAAAATACAGCTGCCACATCTGATCTGATGCTACTGCTATGTATTTTGAGATTTGTAATGAAAGGAGTGCCTATTGTATGACTTCACAAAAAATGCATTTTTAATCACGATTTCTGAATTTTAATTGACATTGAACCAAATTTTTTCTGTTCAGTTTCTGTCTGAGCTACTTATTTAAAAAAAAAAAAAATGAGGGTGAATGGTTATGCTTGATAGATCCAATACATAATTTATTACTTGGTAAGTATTTAATATCAGTGAATATTAATTTGATACATGCATAAGTATTCATGGCTGAAAGAAAAAAAATTGTATTTACATTCAGACTAATGTCTTCATAAATAAATACAAAAGACAAACTTTATCAATGCATTTTGTCTCCCAAGGGACTTTATCAAGGCAAATGTAAGGATTTTGTTTTTGTAGCATGCATTTAGAAACAGAAGGAAAAATATTAAATTTTCAAAATTTTTCAATTTAAGAACTCTCTAAAATATTCTTAAGTCTATGTAAAGGTAAACCATGGAGGATGCTAAGTGATGTAATTTAATGCTTAATTCAAAAGTGTGTAAATGTTGCTATTGTTGTGATTATATATATATATATATATATATGTGTGTGTAATTATTAGTTTATTTTAATTTGATAAATTATTTCTGTATTTATTTAAATAATAGGTCTTGAGTTAACATTTCCTTTTAATTTAAAAAAAATGTTATGGTTGTATATGTTGGCTTGAGGAAAGGAGTATTTCTTTTAAGAAGGAACTATTTGAAAAAAATCTGGGGCATAATTAACAGTTTGGAAAGAATCAATAACTGCACTTTCAAGAACTTTCCGTCAAATTAAGTTATTTTCTCTTTTAATAAGAGTGGCATTCTTGAGATGTCTTCATCTTTGTTGTTATTATCACAATGTCTTAAGTGTTGTACCCACCAACATTCTTCAGGTGTCCAACATTCTGCATAAACCTCAGGGAATTTTCAAGTGAACACTTTATTTAATCTATGGGGTAGATAGTTCTTATTTTGATGTCCATATTTAGGGATATTTTGTTCTTATTTAGTATTTCTCAGTTATTGCTCACCCTGTTTCCACCGAGTCTGTACTACCTAACCCAGGGATTGAACTTAGACCTGGTGGTAACACAGCAAACAATAACTAAAAAATAAGAAAGATGAGATACCCCTGGATATGGACGGCAGAACAAAAATAATCTACCGACAAAATTAAATGAAACGATCAGTTCAAAATTCCCTAAATAATAGTTAGATTGACAGACACCTAAAGAAGACAAGTGAGTATAATGACTGAAATTTTCTGATAACGACAACAAAGATAGAGATATTAGTCCAAAGGTAAAACGTGTAAAAAGTGATAACTCCTCATCCCAGAAATTAAAAAAAAAGAAGAAATGACTCAAGCATTCAAAATTCTGACTCGTTTATTAAAATAAATTACAAAATAATTTACCAAGAAATTTGTCATTGGTAATCCTTTCTGTCATATACATTTTAAGAAGTGCATAATGTTGTGACAATGGTATTAAGTTTGATGGTGAATGCTTTAAATGAAAACATTTTGTTCACTCTTTCATAGCCTGCTTCTCCAAGTTTCTTCTTAAGATCTGGATTGTCCACAAATTTCTTCATGGCTTCAGCAAATTCTTCTGGTTCTGGTTCACAGAGAAACCCTGTTTTTTCATGCTCTACTGACTCTTTGGGTCCCCCACTTGACACCGCAATGACTGGTAGTTTCATATACATTGCTTCAAGTGGTACAATTCCAAAGTGTTCATTTTCAGGTGTGTACAGCAAACATGTAGCATGAGTGAGCAAGGTGAATTTCTGATCAGAATCAAATGACCGGACAAATGTGACTTGATTCTCAATTCTCAGCTCACTTGCTAGCTGTCTTAATTCCAAATAGTGATGTCTGTTTTCTGTCACTCGTTCATCATAGCCACCAGCCATGATGAGGTGAATATCCTTAGGGTTTGGGACTTGCTCTTCTAAGTTCACTAAAAAAGAAAAGGAAAAATTAATAAAGGAGGTTTGTTTTAAAAAGATACATCTAGTAAAAGATGCCTTTCAAAAGCTAAACAAGGTATTAAAAAACAGGAAAATTTTGTTAAACACAAAGAAAAGAGTGTTGAATTGTTATGTAATATCGACCCTCTTATATGACCGTGAATACTGGACAATTCTTCACAAATGAAGAAGTGACCTGAGGTAACAGAAATCATTCAAAGAAGGGTCTTAATCAGGGGAGGTCAGAATTTTCTTTAATATACAATAAATGTGGTGGGACTTTAATATAAGGGGGAATCAGAAAATCATTTAATCTTTACCACTTTGTATGTGACTTCATTTGCTGTACAAAAAATTTATTCTACCACTGAAGGTGACTCTGATCCCTGAACAATAGCATTTGAATTTCATAGTTGTGTCGTCATATCCTGCTATGGCAATAGAAAACAACTTTGAGTGAAATTAACAATAAGGATACTGAAACTGAGAGGTGTTGAGAAGGAATATTAATAATGCAGAGTGATGAAGGCTAAAAGGGTCAAAAATTGTGAAATTAATAAATGGATGGTCTTAACAAGCTCAGTGGCAGACAGAAAATTTTCTTAACAGAAATCCCCACCCGAATCATCTATTAGGTACTTAACTTAAGAGTATATAAATAAACCCAATATTTTCTCTGTTAGTGTGTGTATGTGTGTATATATAAGTAAACTGAAAAATCGAATCATCCTTGATAATGGCTAAAGGTAAAGCTGAAAGCACTTGGAAATATAAAACATTTGGACAGTTCTTACACACCCTTTGTCCATGAAAAGAAAGCTCTTGTTCAAACACAAGAAAAGTTAAATAAAAAGCTTAACCGTAGTACCTTGTTTGTTGTTTTTAATGAAACATGCATGCATATATATATATATATATATATATATATATATATATATATATATATATATATATATATATATATATATATTTTTTTTTTCTAAAAAATTTATAACATAAATATATTATAAAATCACTACAAAAATAGCCATTTTGTTTCAACACTCTTGGTGTCTTATCAAGTGATGATGTTGAATATAAAATAAATGGTTTTAAAAGTTTCAAATTAATTGGTGATCCTTCGCTAGGGGAAAACATTGTTACAAAACCTAGAATAACCAATCAAAACCCAAGTATAGGAAGATTCAAAAGCTTGACAACGAAATCATTTTATAATAGCTATTCAGATCTTTAAAATACGGGTAATATTAAAAAAGAATTTATTCTAACCAATAATTATTAAATTATATGATAAAATTTGATATTAAAATTAAAAACTGCCAATTTTAAAATCCAAATTTAATCACTATTAAGTTTAAAAACTATAAAATTACTGAAGAGAAAAGAAAAAATACATATGTTATTCAATTTATTTAATTGTTGAAATTACGTTACAACAGACACTACAATATAAAAAAAACTCCACTAAAATTAAGGTAGACCATATTAGGAAAATGATCCATAGGGTATTTAAGGATTTAGGTCTTAGGACAATAGTTACAACTAATGTTAAACAAGTGGATTTTCTAGACATCACCCTAGACCTTGCTAACAACACTTTCCAACCATATGTGAAGGTTGATTCTAACCCAATATACGTGCATCCAAATTCCAATCATCCTCCTTCAGTTATCAAACACATACCCTCTTCCATTGGTTTTAGAATTAGCACTAACTCTTCTAACAAAGATGTTTTTAATAAACGTCATGATTTTTACAATTCTGCACTCAAAAATAGTGGATACAAAGATACCACTATTCAATATAAAAACCCTGTTAATTGCAACCATAATAAGAAGAGAAGATCTAGAAAGATCATCTGGTTCACTCCCCCTTTCAATATAATGGTTAAAACTATTTTAGGACGTATATTTCTAAACCTCATCAAGAAACATTTCCCCAACCCTGAAACTAACACACTTAGTAAAATATTTAATCCTAATACCCTTAAATTAAGCTATAGTTGTGCTGATAACCTGGAGAAAATAATTAAAAAACATAACAACATAGTCTTTAACAAGTATAGGGTTTCAAAAGGCTTGACTACTGAACAGGTTACTAACTGCAATACTAAATATAATAACACAAATAACAACTTATGTAATTGTAGGAATCCTAATAATTTTCCACTACAAAATAAGTGTAGGATTAGCTCTGTAGTCTATCTTAGTACTATTTCAACAATTGAAAATCCAAATATAAAAATTTTTTACATTGGTAGCACCATGAAAACATTCAAGGAATGCTGGCGGGGGCATATGCAATCTTTTAATCATAGTGACTATAGGTACATGACTTCATTATCCAAGTATTCTTTAAATCTAAAAGAAAAGAACAAAACACCTATGGTTAAATGGAGTTTGATTAAGAAAGCCTGAACATGTAACTCCCTATATGCCCCATGTTACCTATGCCTTAACGAAAAATTTGAAATTATTAATTTAAAAACAAGGCTGATCTCTTAAATCAAAGATATGAACTAACAGTTAATTGTAAACACCGTTATAAATTTAACTTAGTGTAGGGGTCGTATACTTTAAATGATAATGATATGTTGCTGCAATTTTAATAGATTAGTACTTTTATTGCCTGATGGTCATCCTGACGATATGAATGTGCATTGTTTACCTACGTAGTGTTATTCGTGTTGGTGTATATGTGTATATATTTATTTGTGTGTAGGTATGTGTGTTTGTACTGTGGAATGTGTAGGTTTGTATATAAGTGTATTTATATGTTGGTGTTTTTTTGTTTTTTATATATATATATATATGTGTTTATATATGTGTGTATATGTATATATAAAGTAAGAAGGTGAAGAGGAGAAGAAGAGAAGAGGTTAAAAAATGTTGATGTATATGTGTGTGTGTGTGTGTATATATATATATATATACAAATAAACACCTCGAGGTGGTGTAATGGTTGGCAAGCTTGGCTCGCTAGATCAATTGCGACTGAGTAGCGAGTTCGTTCCTCACTGGGTGCCCCCTAATTTCAGCTTTGTGCCACTGTATATATGTGTATGTGTGTGTGTGTGTATATATATATATGTGTCCTATTGTGTATATAAATTTATATTTACATATATTTCTGTTTGTATGAATGTGTTTATATATGTATGTTAGGATATATGTATATATGTGAGAATGTGTGTATATATGTTTATATGTATGTATTTCTGTGTGTATATATATATATATATATATATATGTATTTCTCTGTGTGTGTGTGTGTGTGTGTGTGTGTATATATATATATATGTATGTATGTATGTATATGTGTGTTAGTTTGTGTTTGCTGCCGCGTGTATATATGTATATACGTATGACAGTACACTTATTTCTGTAGGTTTTCTTTTTATCCTGTTTTCCTTCGGTAATAAAACTATTATCAACTTATATGATTAAAATATATGTTTTTATTGATATCTGTGGTTTTGGAATTTTCGTTTTAATATATTAAATAATATTATTTTTAACCATTTTTATCTTTGTATATTTGCTCGCTTAAGTTATATTTTAATAAGTGGCTAGCATTTGTTTAATGATACTTTCAGTCTTAAATATTTATTGGTTGTGGTATCTAAGTGTCTAGGTCAATGTCTGTGGATGTGTGTACATGTATTTATCGGTGTCTATGTGTATGGAAAGTGCATTCACTTTTAATTGTGTGTGTAGGTGTTGGTTTCCCCGTTTCCTTTTTTTTTTTTTTTTCATAAAGTGCCATGGAGATGTTCCTGTCTCAGCGCTTTTTTGTGTGTATATATATCTAAATATGTCTGGGTGCTTATGTATTATAATCTGATTGTGCTTGTGTTGTTTTGCATGTGAATTTAAGACCCCCATTCACCCATTTGGGATTAAAATATATATACATGTATTGTCGGATGACCGGATATTGTAGCGTCTGTTCTAACGTAATTTCAACAATTAAATAAATTGAATAACATGTATTTTTTCTTTTCTCCTCAGTAATTTTATAGTTTTTAAACTTAATAATGATTAAATTTGGGTTTTAAAATTGGCAGTTTTTAATTTTAACATCAAATTTTATCATATAATTTAATAATTATTGGTTAGAATAAATTCTTTTTTAATATTACCCGTATTTTAAAGATCTGAATAGCTATTATAACATGATTTTGTTGTCAAGCTTTTGAATCTTCCTATACTTGGGTTTTGATTGGTCATTCTAGGTTTTGTAACAATGTTTTCCCCTAGCGAAGGATTGCTAATTAATTTGAAACTTTTAAAACCATTTATTTTATATTCAACATCATCACTTGATAAGACACCGAGGGTGTTGAAACAAAATGGCTATTTTTGTAGTGATTTTATAACATTTTTATGTTATAAAATTTTTTTTATAAAAAATAATTATATCTGGTCCACTTTGTGTTGAGCACTCTTTTAAGAATAGTAATTATTGGTTATTCAAATTCATTCCGTATATACCAATTATATACTTGGAGATATATATATATATATATATATACATACATACACACACTACCTTAAAAGCTGCCCTATCAGGCAGCATTTAGGCTAGATACTGCAGAGGGCCCTTGATTGGACTTTCATCACAATAGGTAGGGAGGAGTAGATGCAATAGGCAACAATAAACTACAGAAGAACTCAAAACTGATCACTACATTTAAGTATTGCAATAATATTTAAGCTTAGCTTTTAAAAGTTCAACGATAATTCTTCTGCCGCCACTTAATTTAAAGACAATTTGATGTGCATAGGTCCTTTCTTTCTGTACAAACAATTATTTTTATTTCATGTATGACTTTTGCTGGATTTCACAATTAATATTGATTATTCCCAAATTTATTTCCAAGTTATAAAAATGGGGTGCAGAATTAATTTCAACTCGGAACCAATTTCAATTCAGAACTAAGGGTTAGGGTTTTTAAATTGAGTTGAAATTAGTTGTCACTCATAAAAAT